CCCCCCCAATCAAGACAATGAGCTATTCATACCAACCTATCCATTTTTGTTCACAGATCACAGATGTGTATGTAAGGATTAGGACAGTTAAGTAGCTGTGTGTAAATAAGAAAACAGAGGAGTTAAGACACAAGTTTCCCCAAATGGTTTATTTCCTTTTTTCTTTTTCTTTTCTTTTACAATATAGAACCAATGTCAGGGGGATTATGAATAAAGCTGAGATCTTAAAGACTCAGCATTCATTTCTGGTTCTGAACTGCCACCTTGTGCTTTTTATAAAAGCCTCCACTTTTGGGAATAGGCTTGTCTTGTTACTAGATGAACATAATTTCAAGAATTGAGTACCTGTATCTAGTTCAGCTTTACAATGTTTCTTTCTTTTCTCTATTAAGTCTTCCTCTAAATCAGCCTTCCCCTCCAAGTGGATTGATTGATTGATTGATTGATTGATTGATTGATTTCTATTTATATAGCTGCCCATCTTAAATGCATGACTCTAGGTGGCTTACAATTAGGATTCCCAGTTAGTATGTTCAACATATTGGGACCACACCCATCCTAAAGGACATGGGTGAATGAACATTCTTGAATAGAAATGGAATTGCCTTCATTGATTTCAGGACTTGATATCCTGATATTTTTTCTTTCCAGGAGCAGAGTTCTGACCTGAGCAGCAGAACCCATGACCCTCAGGGGCTTTGCAGTGGGTTCGGTTCTAGCATTGCCAAGCAAAAAGTGAAATAGAAGCCCTGCTACCGAAAATGAAATGTCATGTGAAACCTCAGCAAAAAAGCCAAGATAAATGGCTATAGGCAAGAAGTCCAAAAATCTGGGTTACAGGGGAGTTAAATGGAGTACAGCGTCCTGAATGACAACTATTGAGTTCAACATTTTTTTCACAGGTTTCACTAGTTATTGTTTAATTATTATGTTCCCTAGTGAGAGCTTTATTTGCTTGCTCTGATAAATGCATTTTGGTCCTGCTATTTCTGAATCCCATCCATCATTCCTAATGATGCAACTTATTTCTGGATGTGGCCGGATCCATCATTGCTGATGATCCAACTTGTTTCCAGATTGGTCAGAAATGAATTAATGCAATTGACTCCTTAGTAAGCAGAAACAATCTGATTACTAATCCCCAGCAGCATTGCAGCTATTTCATTTTAGTCACCTGAGAGATGAAGAAAGATTCTTTGAGTAGATGGAGTTTCATATTTTAAATGCACATAAATCATGACACTGTCATGACTATAGGGATAAAAGGAAAAATTGTCTCTGTAATCCTGAACTATAAGATCTGTTTGAGAATTAGTATAGTTTTATTTGAAAAAGTTAAAAAAGAAAAGAAAAGAAAGAGGACCTATAATCAGATATTCACTTGGCTCAAATGCCAGTGCAGGCCTGTGGAAGAAATACTATGCTGAAAGTATTAGGCTTGGTGTACCTTATTTAATGTATATTTACATCAAGGTCTTCTTTTGTCACTATCCCCAGCTGTCACTCTTTTAAAATTCATTTGGCTGTGGAATCCAGAACTTTGGCTCTGCATTTCAGTCCTAGATATACCACCAATTTCCAGGTAGATACTGCTGTGGAAAACTATCAAATGTGTATATGCAAATCAGAACTTGTGTATGGAACACAGTAATCTTAAATGCTAAAGGCTGAACTAAATCTATTGCTGAAAAAATCGATATGGCCTCTAGTTAGCAGCAGAGAAATAAAGAAGACTCCAACGCTGCCACTTAGTGCTTATTCAAATTTTTGGAGGCCAGTTATGAGACAGGAAATCCAGGCTGTCATGTTGGGCTCTTAAGGACACTCCCATACAAACCATTGGGCAGGGAGTAGGGAGCAACTGTAGGACCTTAGACAAATAAAGAAGGTATAGTGCAGAGACATAGGGATTTTAGCATGTTCTTAGCATGTTCTTAGCCTTAGCCAGAGTCATTGAATAATCTAAAGAATAGAACCAGATTAAATGTAAATTAAATTGCAAGTTCCTGTACCTTATCTTTAGATAAGTAAACTAAAGATAGTTGTGTTTATTTTTTAATCTTGCCATTTTCTCCCCCCACTCCTTTGTTCTAAGCGTTCAGGAATGATATACATGGTTGTTTAGCATGCTTATCCATTTTATCCTTGGAAAAAGCACTAGGGTAGTTTTAGCAGATAATGGTTAGCGCAGCATTCCCAAAGTATCATTCCCCAAATATGTTGGTCTACAACTTGCATTATTTGTAGCAACTGTGTTTAATTGAACTGTAGTCCAAGCATACATGCAAAACAATGCTAGGTTTGGAAATTGTTGTTGTTGTTATGACTCTCAGTGACTCTGGAAAAACGAAGTGAGAATACTGAAGTAGGACTGAAAAGACCCAGAATGAAACCCCTGCTAAAACATTAGGCCGGTCACTCTTTCTCCATTGAATCTATTTTTGCCAAACTATTATGAAGGTTAAATAAATGGTATAGAAAATGTTGTGGCCATCTGTGCCACCTCAGGCTTGTAAGAGGAAAGGTAAGCCCTAAGTGGAGTAATAGCTTATAACAACAAATGATACTCACGGTTCAGGAGTATAAAGAGGATCCGAACCATGGCGGATGTACTGGGTACAGTGGAAAACCCGGTAGGCCAGGCCAGCTAAGAAATCACGAGGTGACAAATATCCAGCCACAGGTCTGACTGTGAAACCAGACCTTTCTGAAGTGGAAGACAAATCAACATTATTTCATTATGTATGTTTGCATATTTCAATTGATTGATACAAGTAATTCTTGCCAGATTTCTTTTTAAAGAATTGTTCATTATTAGCGTCATGATATACTACATAGGCTGCTGTCTGATAGAGAGATGGGATTTACCTTTGAGCAGTAAAGAATAAGATGACAGCGTTTACAAAACAGAGCTCATTTAACTCAGGAAGCTCATTCAGTAGCTAGAGAAACCATGAGGGTCACTATGCCAGAGTAGAGTAAAGAAACAAAATGACTCTTGGTACAGAAGGGAAAAAACACACTAACAGAGACATGGGGGGATGACTCCCAGGATATGAACATAGCAACTGAAGGACACCATTTGTTCCAAAGGAACACAAGAAATCGAAAGAGAGTATGTTAAACATATCAATCTCTGCTCAGAAATCCAGATAAATGAATTTTGATAAGTGGATGAAGAAATAAAAGTAAACATGTTGCTGATGTCTATTATTGCCCACCCAACTAAGGAGAGGATGTGGATAATGCCTTCCAAAGGGAATCTACAAATTTTTCAAAGACACATGAAGTTTGGGAAACTTTGATTATACCAACATCTATTGGGAAGCAAATTTTATAAGCATAGATCTTTTAAGACATTCCTGTGTTGCCTTGCTGCCAGCTGTGTCCTTATCAGGTGGAGAGTAAAGGAAGGCATAAGAGGATGAGCTATGCTTTGACTGATAGGGAGACTGAAACTGAGTTAATTAAAACTTGGGCCTCAAACATGAGGATTTAATAAACTCAGAGGAGTGATAAGTAGGAGTCCATGGGAGGAGAAACTAATGAGGAAAGAAGTTCAAGATGGAACTCATAAGAGAGGAAATATTAGAAGCATAATTGCAAATAATTCCAGTTAGGAAAAAAATGGAAGATAGCAGAAGCCAATACAGCTATACAAAAAAGTTGATGAAGATCTGGAAACAAAAAAGTGGAAATCCTGAAAATAGAAATAAAGCCAAGTTACAAAGGAAGAGTAAGGACAGATGATAGGCAAAAACTGTACAGTTAGAATCAGGAAAATGAAAGCTTAGAATAACTGAGATTAGTGAAGGATATTAAGAACAACAGCAACACGCTTCCTTTAGCTATGTTCAAAACAAAAAGGAATTAGTATGCCAGCTGCTCAATATGATGGCAAACTGGTCTAAAAACAAGTAAGAAGGAAATAGCAAAACCATTTAATTCCAATTTTAGTTCTAACTTCTCCAACAAAAAAAAAAACTAAGTCACACCAAAAAATTGTGAAGAGCAATGAATGAGCAGGGCTGGAGCTTGAGACCAATAGAAACAGCCAGTTAATACCACTTTACATTGAATGGGCTTAGATAACCAAGTCCAGATGAATTGCATCATAAGAACTTGCTGAAAGCCTGTCTAAACCCTTGTGTATAATCACTGAGAAATTCTGGAGAAAAGATAAATATATAAAGTGCCATGAAATGATGAAATATATGTTTTAGTGTTGTAGTGCAAATTCTGATCCTTTTGTACTTGCATCATGACATTGCATACAAGTACATAAATGGACCCCTTCATGGATCACTGCCTTGTCGTGGCGAAGGGGCTTGCGTAACTCAGTGA